GCAGTAAATAATTTTAACGGTTTAATAAATATTTCTGAAAAACACCTATTTCTGCAAGACTTGTGTCCTTTTTTTTGTGGAAAGTAATAGTATCCATTCTTGGGGATGCAGCCTATGGATCTGTCTGTGTCTCCACATAAGGAACACATGGACATCTGGCCCACAGATAACCCCTCACCCAGGCAGCCAGACAAGCCGTGTGCTTGGCTCAGTGGAATGCCGGTGCATTTCTTACAGCACCCACCAGTTCAAAAACATTAATACAAAAGTTTATTTTCTCTAAAGAACAATTCAAGACACATCTGAACTGCATTAGGAACCAAACTACAGAGAGCTGCTGGCAGCAGTCACAGGCACAAGGTGGCAACACCACAGCTTGTTCTAGGAATGCTGTGAGCTGCCATAAGGGTAGGTCACACACACCCAGGACAAAGCACGGTCACCTATCGATGCTTATCATCATCTCTTTGCTTCTTGCTGTCCCTGTCCCTGCTCCGGTCTCTATCCCTGTCCTTCCTGTCTCTGTCCTTCCTTTCCCTCCCCCTGCTCCTCTCCTCCTTGGAGTCCCTGTCTCTCTCACTGTCACCCCAAGCCCACGACCTCTCCCTTTCTGGCCAGCGTTTGTCCCTGCTCCTCTCATGGTCCCGGTCCCTTGTTCTCCAGTCCCTTGTTCCCTCACGAGACCAGTTTCTTTTCTCTGATGGTCCTTCTCCATAGAAATCATTTTTCATGTTTGGCAAATTGATGGGCTTTCGGAAAGGTCTGTCCCGTCCTCCGAACCGCAGCTGCCCGGATTCTTTTTTGCCTCCAAACCCACCCCCAAGCCTCCGGGGAATCCATCCTTTGAGAGTTCTTTCCAGTTCAAAGTCTACAAAGATCTCATGTTGGTCGATGACCAGCCTGTTGGCATCCCTGTGGGCCTTCAGGAGTGCACGCTCCTCTTTGTACTCAATGAACGCGTACCCCTTGGAAAATCCTGTGACCAGGTCTCGAACCAGACGGATCTTTCTGATGTCTCCATAGCGTGAAAAAACCTCCTTTAACTTCTCTTCTGTGGTCTGAAGATTGAGCCTTGCCACGAAGAGAGTGAGGTGAGGATCTCCCGTGATGCCCTTGTTGGGTACGTACCGTGCCAGCATCGCCCGCCATATGGCCCGGTCGTGGGGCTCCTCGTCCGTGCCATCGATGCTGCCAGCCTTGAGGGGATCGTACTCCTTCGCTATGGGGGCCCAGTCAGCCATTGTCTGGTGGGGGAGAACACACGGCACAGGCTCACGGCTGTGTCAGGAACAGCCAGAAGCGCTTCCAGCACCACTGCACTGCGTGCTCATCCAAAGTCCCCCAAAGTGAGACACACGAAAATGAACCAGCCGCGTCGCTGCTGGTTGAGTCCACGTGCCGGGACAGAGTTGTGTCGTGGAGCCGGATCCTCCCCTGGCCTACCCCGGCCTGAGGGGCCCCGGCCTTCCCCTGTGGGCCCGGCCCGGCCCGAGGAGGCCTCTCAGCCCCGCTCCCGCCGCCGCCTGTCCCCTCCCCCGCCCGGTGCGGCTCTCCCGGCGGGCAGGGGCCGATCCGCCGGGCCGGAGGAGCCGCAGCCG